TACTGTCGTAGATTTGTTTTTGTAAATAATATTAATTGTTGTGAAAACAATAATTGTTACTGTTTGGGAAAACTGATCTGGAGGTTGTTTTGTGAAGCTGTTAGAAAGGGCCTAACGAGCGCCACACACACACACTCCCTCTTTTACTTCGACTAATGAAACTCAGTTAGAGTCAATTCGACCAGTTTTCATTCGAAAGGGGCGCATATGTCAAATATCTGGCCCGTTATTGTGTCCCACATACCACCATCAGCCTGTGTCGATCGATACTCACACACAGGTCAATCGTTCTTTTTGAATAATCTGTCCAGCCATCTAGAAGACCTTCTACCAGTTGCGGACACAATAACCTCTGTGTACATGGTCGTAGACCCAGTACACTATAGCGAACGTGTCCACAAAGGGTAGAAAACGTTAATAGCAGTGGCTAAACCTTTTATTGTTTTTGTATTCCTTTCTTTTTTCATTTTTATATACATATATGTATGTGTTATGTAAAGCCCCGATGAGTGATATCCTAATAAAGATCGCGAAACGCGTCGGCAAATACGTTTCTTTGCATTACATAGTACACATAATAATTTCATCGATGGATTGCTGTGAAAATCGACTTTGACCTAGAGGCACATATTTGGGACCATTGGCTAGTTGAGACAGTTGTTGTGATGAAAGAGAGGAAGCCACTTCGATGATAGGTGATGATGGAAGAATATGGTTAAGAGTATTCATAGTAGTGCTCCGATGGCGGCACCAGCCTTGTCCATTGCCGTCGGAACTTTGTCGAAAAAGTCATCTTGTGCTCGACCATATGTCGGGATCGATTGACCATATTGGTACGACGTGCTTCAATAGCATTGATTCGTTGAACCATCATGACTACATTGCGTGACTACAAACCGTTTCTTCCGCTGTTGTAATAGCCAATACCATTAGATCGTATTTGAATTGAGCAATCGTTTTCAGTCGGCGAGATGATAATATTGCACATTTATCTTGATCGAGAACTGGTCGTGTCAGTATTTGCTCGATGTTGTCTATCGAATGATCGAGAACACCAAAGGATGGAGGTAATCGTTTGGTATAGATTCGTTGTTTCAGTACGACCACTTCTTCTTCAGCTTGTGTTTGATCCGATGTCGCTTGCCAGATAATTTTGGCTGAACGTATCTAAAACATCGATCCATGTATGAGTTACAAAAGATAATTCATTATTCTTACCTGATCTTCGTTCGGTTGTAAATCATAGAATGATTTGACCAAACGATAATCAGTGGCATCAAATTGTAACAGAACCTTTCTTCGTTTATATTAAGCACACAGTTTGTATTGTCGTTTTCGGACGAAAGCCGGAATAACGGTCGATAATCGGTTTCGGTCAAGTGAGTCATCGATGACCAGTTGTTTATATTTGTTCAAATCGTTTTCAGCTGTTTCAACTGGTTCATGATCGTTTTTCGACATTTGTCGACTTTATCTGGTGTTTTGAAATCGAATCGACGTAGATTATTTTCCTTGGATCGATGAGAAGCTACCACAACGCTACCACGTACCTCGACAAAAACTAACATCCTGTTGGTGCGTTTTTCGACCAACGAAAATTAGTGGATCTCTAAAACATCATTTTAGGGGTATGAATGCGGAAA